AGTGCCTTCGTCAAACCCGCTCACATGTTAAACTATGCACTCGCTGAAATCTAAATTAGTGGCTAAAAGTAACTGAAAGCGAGTGTTTGTATAAACGCTATTCCTTCCCTTCCATTTTCCATAAGTTCGTTCAAGCAATTTGTCCGCTTTGCATATCGCTTTTGATTTAGCGGTTACGCCAAATGCTCAGTGATTACTTTTGGCAACACATGTACTTAAGAAATTTCATTGTAGCACAGCAAACAATTCAACACTGCACTATTAATAACGGGTTGCCAAAATTAGGACGGCTTAGCGGTTCTGAAACAAAAGCGCTCGATTGTTGTTTTAATTTAGAGCGCATTTGCTGTATAATACATCTTGAAGCACCGTGACGGTCGTAAAAGCATTGACTATATGATTGCTGTTGAAATTATAATATTATTCAGAATTGTTTTACTAGAGAGTTAGGGATCCAAATGAAGAAATTGTACACACATAAATGTATAAAGTTTATTTATTTTGGATTCCTAACTCTAAAACAATCTCACAATTTCTTTGAAAGCAATTATGAATAATATTTCATCCTTATTATAACTCAACGCTTCTGTTTTACCGCTTAGGAATGGAATGATATGAACCTGCGCTGGAACTCAAGCGAGTATGGCGGTGTACGTGATCTCCGAATTCCTCCGCACAGACTTTGGAAACCGGATGTGCTCATGTACAATAGGTGAGTAAACTATTTTAGTGTTAAAAACGACGAGCAGGTAATGAAAAAGCTTCGAAAAAAGTACACAAATACGTATAAACATAGAATTCTTCAGAAATATTCGAGCAAACCCATATTATCTTTCCGTCCTGACAGCAAACAATAAAAAGACTCTGCTTGCATTTGTAGTAGTTGCCCCTGCTAATGCTGTTTATGGCATCTGCCGAGCTGCCTTTAGCGCTGCAGTGACTAGTCCTCCGGGCGCGATGATTATCCCATTCAAAAGCTTATTTTATTTATTCCTGCAGGCAAGTTAAAGTCTTTGAGCATTTAATGCAGGTCACTACAGTAATTTTCTTCTTTTCATTGTTTAGTTTGGCTCTAAGCTCGCCGTTGCAATTTCATATGTGTGTATAATCTGTGTTTTATTTACTTCATCAGTTCGTGGCTCTGGGCTTTCTTACTATTAGCACTAGCAGGCAAAAAAAAATGGAAAAAACATCCGAAGCTAGAATAGCATTCACAAGCTGTATGATATATAGTATTGTTCCGATCTCAATAATTTCACCAGATATTATATTCTTTTTCTTGTATTATAAACAGGTTTTTCTTATAGGGACTTGATTTTAATCATTCAGTTTGATATTTTGAGAAATAAAATGTTATATGTTTCCATACATGCACCAGATTTTGGTTGTTCGGTTTGTATGGTAGCTATAGTATATGCTATAGAGACTTGATCTGCACAATTTCTTCGAAAATTGTACCATTGCTTTAAACAATAATCCATGCCAAATTTCTTAAAGATCATTGAAGAAAAAAATATCCATATAAGCCCGTGATTCTGATCGAGGATTCAGTTTGTATGGCATCTATGTATATCACATATTGAGTAGTCGAAAAAGTCTTCTCGTATTTCTAATCAAGCTTCAACTTATTTTTATAATACGAAAAAACTTTTTCGACTACCAAATAATTTCAAAGCTCATCAGTAAGGAAACTAACTTAAATATATTGTTTAGAAATATATCGATCGCAAAACAATATAGTCATAGAATTTATATAGTAGGTGTTTTATAATAGCTTTTCCTGCATTTCATTGAGACATTTCTTATTTTCATCGATAAAGTCAACCTGAAACACAGTACAAGTAGTGCTCATACTCATAAAGTATGCGGCACGCGTAGTATTTTCGAATAACCCACGATTTCTGGCGTTTTAATTGTCGATGCCGACTGAAATATTCACAAGCAGCGTAACAGGAGGCACATATAATAATTGCGTACAAAAAATATGTCATACGTGTGCTTGAATGGAATACAGAACGCAGCGAAATTAATATTTCAATGAAAACTTTAAGCCAACATCAGCACTAATTGTGTTTATTGTTTCGCTCTTTGCACTTGGAAGCGCTCCTAGGGGTATGTAGCATCTGGTCACGCATAAATGCTTGTATATGGCGTGTCGCTATAAAGTCGTGTCGTGTTAATCCTCGCATTCAAAGCGAAGCAAAAWGTATGAGCATGTGATAAGTCAGTACCGCGCCCTCAGAAACAAAGTTGCTATAATCCGTTACTCACACACCATACACCCACTCGCAATACGAAGTCTCACATGACCATATTTTTTCTTTTAAGTCTTCTTTTCTCGTTTTTTTTATTATTATTTTTTTATTATAAGTTCGTGGCTTCAGGAAAAACTAAATATTCTTTATAAAGATTRTAAARTGAGTAGAGCTAATCTTAARATATTTYGCTAGCAATATYTTAGAGTACGAATGAAGTAATATTTGACATATTTCCTACTGGGCACAAGTTTATATACTTCTCCTTGTATATGCCTCKTTTTCGATTACCTCACCGRGACACATTTTATTGCACTTTTCTCTTCCCCACTATGCSTGGGCATGACTGTAGGACATTGGCATCGCCGATATAACACATAAATCATCAATGTTTCCACAGTCAAGTCAATATCAGCACTGCAGCGCTTCGAAAAGTAATGGCGCCTATGCCACACATTTTCATTGTGCTTTWCCCACATATGCCATAAATATARCATAATTGTGTCTTCGTAAAATAAAACTTAGTATYAACCAAGAAATAACGCGTGTAAAAGAGTGTTGCAAAGGAATAATAATCTCAATATAATTATTTATTATATTATTTCTCCATTTATGATAAGGCATACAGACCTAATAAAAATGAATACATATAATGAATAGATGGTTGTCAGAGCCTTGTCAAGTAAAGCCAATTTGCCCGCAGCACCCCTCCCTCCCTCTCTCATTCTGGTATTTCACCGCCAACTTTTGGCGGAATTTTCATTTCAGCAACAGTTTACGACCTTTCTGCCTTCTGGTTATTTTTTGTTCAGTTTTGGAAACCTTGACTTGCGCAAATATCCCCGAGATGCATTGTATTCGCCCACGCCGCACATACATACACGCACATTAATTGTTCTTGTTTTTCACTTACTCACTTTTCCGCATGTCAGTCACGTGCTAACTTACGTCGGTCGCACTAAATGAACTTCCCGTTGTTATTACCTTCATCCGTCTCTTCCACACATTCCACACTTCGTACATAGTCTCTCTTGGTTTACCCCTACACTAACATATTCCATATGAGCTTTTGAATATAGYGCATATTATTTTAMAATTTTAGTTTCAACAAGTTTTTTTGCTTTCTTCAGTTTTTTCTCTTTTGTCTCATTAGTTGCTTTTATTGCTCCTTGATATAGTTTTTATTACCTCTGTTTTATTTTATTTCATTGGGTTTTACWTTTCTCATTCATTAATTCGATTTGCTATTTCTTTGTCATCCACAACTCGCGACGAGAAAATAATAAGAACTCAGACGGAACACATGTTCGCACTTCTCAGTCTACTACGGACGAACGTTAGCTCTCTTATTTTGGCTTTAGAGAATTTTTCTAGAGCTAGATCTATATATGTTTTATAATATCAAACTCAACCAAACTCCCTACTATTTCCAGGGAAGCTCAAACTTTCCTAAAACTACATGCTACTGTGAGGTTATGATTAAAGACCTGAATCTTACTAACTAGCCTCCGTGAACTCAAATAAATTAGGTTTTTCAAAAACTTTTTACCTTCACAAAGATTTAAGAGAAAATAATTCTCTCACGATTAAGAAACTTCAAAAATTCGATTAGATTTTATAATTGAAAACAGTAGTTCACTTAACATTTATGAATTAACTTGACTTCCTTTTCCACAGCGCCGATGAGGGTTTCGACGGCACCTACGCCACTAATGTTGTGGTACGAAATAACGGCTCGTGTCTGTACGTGCCGCCCGGCATTTTTAAATCCACCTGCAAAATCGACATCACGTGGTTCCCATTCGACGATCAGCGCTGTGAAATGAAATTCGGCTCTTGGACGTATGATGGCTTTCAGGTGAGCTCTCACACATTTTATCGGAAAACATATACACTGTAACTAACTCGTTTAATTAACATCAAAGTTTAAAATAATAAAATTTCTAGCACGGAAAAATTGAGTAAAGCACAAATGATAGCCAATAATGGAAACACAAACCGCTTTTACACGCTGCGAGCAATTTCATCGATGTAATTTGGTGGAACTAATTTAATGGCTTTTTAATTTGCTYGATGCAGTCATCAATTTACTCACTTGCCTCTTCTGTAAATTCTCTTTTTGTAATTCAAACTGTTTTTTCCAGTCGCGATGGTTGTCAGTGTAATTACCGTTATTACTGTGTCATCATTATGAGCAGATGACACAGGATTTATTTTGTTTTCAAATTATTTGAAGGCTTCATTTCAATTTAGAAGGAAGTGCAAAGTAAAAATATCATTGAGAAATTCTTTGAAATTCTATGTCCTTTTCCTACATACATACGTGATAATCATACATGTTGGGCGGTTTTCGCAACTCGTCATAACTTTTAACAAACTGAAATGCATTTCTCTCCTCAGTAGCGGGAAGTAGTTGGAGGAAATCCACTGCACACCAAGTTCTGTTAATCTCTTGATTTACACAGAACTTTTGAAAATACTATAAAACAAATAAATATTTTTCTTCAAAGTAAATCCAGACAATCACACTCTTTCAAATAAGTTCTGTACTGCAACAACTCACTCAAAAGTATTTAAGCGCAAACAGATGGCAACAATAGCTGAACTATCGATATTCCTCAATGAATATAACCAAAAACTCACCGAAATTCGAATATCACCAAACAGTGAAACTTAGCTCAAACAAAAGTTGTTAGGTTGCAACAACAAACACAAACAATTTATATTACAAAGTAAGGAGCACTCCTTCAGTTATCCACGTGAATTCTGCGACGCTACCAAAGGCGTTGACTGCAACAGAGTTGGCATTGCAGTGACACCCTGAAAGCTTTTGGTTGTTTCGCGGCTGCTAAGTGTGGCTCGGACTAAGTGCCGATGCGCATTTGCAAATAGACATATGGGCTATTTCGGCTGAAAATCTACGATGTTGCATATTTGCCGATACTTCACATCACCAATTCTAAATTTATTATGGCACTAAAAGCCTTCGCAAATCCACGGAATGGTTCTGCGGCGACAGAGAGATTGATAAATGTTGGCGTTTGGCGGTAAATCGAGATCGCGAATTATTGGAAATAAATACACAAGTCAATCGCTATTTAACTCTTGAATTCGTGGAGAGGAGCGCTGAAATAATTTGTATTGTAATTTGTGAATAGAAATCAAATCTTGGACAGTTTTTTGAAATATTAAAAATTAAAATAATTAGAGGGGGGAGGAGATACAGGTGTAAAAAAATGGCATATCCTGGTGACATTGATTCTGACTCTCCTGGTGGTCTGAAAAAAAAATCTAAAGAAATTCTTAATCAGTAAGGATGCTGTTATAGTCCCTACCTCAGGGAAAACGATTTTTTTTTTTTTTTTATTAAAAACAAAAATTTTGACACGATGCTGGTAGGAACAATAAAGGATTATATAAAGAAGGTTCACACAAAATTTCAAGTAAATCGGTTGTATAGAACTTAAAATAATGCCGGTACCGGGTGAAAAAAGTAGTTTCGAGAAAAACGCGTTTAGAAAAGTGTGTCAAATTTAAGGCAGTCTAAGTCATTTATTGGTGCGCTAGGTACTGCGTCACTAAAGTAACTGTAGCTCTTAAAATAATTTTAATTTTTAGAAATCCTTTGTAGGATATGTTCTTAAGGGTCTAAACTTTAAATATATGAAAAAAATCGAATTTTTCAAAATTCTAGAGTAGAATACCCTCTTAAATATTTGCCTTTACGTGAAAATTAACTAAGATATCTATCTCCATTTCGGATAGTTATTAATGAAAACATGCCCAATGAAACCCTTCAGTTCTCCATCAATAAGAGAGCCTGCGAATTATCTAACACTAAATGAACCATGGAAGTCTGTTGAATAACAATTCACGAGGTTTGTTAAAAGAGAGACTGCTTTATKAGAAAAATATTACAGTGAAACCTTTAGCACCAAGAAAAACTGGTTTAGTCATTGTAGATCTTTTAAATTCATAGACAAATTTTGAAAAATTAATATTTGCACGAAAACATCTTTCTGGAAAATTTTATATGCTTTCGTATTTTCCATTTCGAAGTTTTCGGGAATACTGTACCCACCTACTTGGTCAGAGAGCGACGCAAGGTTTAAGCTGGCTCACCTGTGTTTTTCTTTTAACTTCAGATATTATTTTTTTCCTAATATACCCTTATTCCAGCTGTGTTTGCACACTTCTCTTAATATATGAAAGCTGAATATTGTTGAATATTTCATTTGCCTTTCACTGACTTTTTAATACGGCTTTTAAGCGCCGGAGGTCAAATAACTTCATTGGGCGGATAACCTTGTTGCAAAACTGAACTAAGAATAACAACAAATATGTATGCCGCCATGACACCATTTTGTGAGTATTTCCCACTGGGCTAAATCCATGATTTTGTCGCTTTTACATTTCAAATAAATACTTTCGCACTTTTTTGTTGCACTATGTGTGGGAGAAGCAAGGGCACAAATCGTTAGGAATTCAGTAAAAAACTAGCACATTTTTACGGTTACTCTGATACATACATACCCAACTGTATAAGCATTTTTAAGTAGTCGTGGGGGTGAGTCAGTAGAGCCGGATATCCGTCATAGCAATTTATACGTTCTCTTGGGAGAGCTGATAGGCAAGCTTGAGTTGAACGATATTTACCGTTTTGACCTCATGTGGCTAACAATTGCTTGTATCTTAAATCGCTTGTTGTTGTAAATGAGTAGTATGAGATTGAAAAAGCGAGTAATTACATTAAATACAAGTTACGATGGAATATACATAGAATAATAATACATTTTCAAAGCAGTGAAGGTAGCGATATATAGTATACCGTTCATAGCAACAAAATTATATTAAACATCTGACATTGGAAACCTTTTAAGCTTTATTATACAAACAAGTTTCAATTAAAACAATTAATTTACAACAATTTGTGTACGAAAAAAATATAAATATTAACTACATAACAACAAGTACCTAATCACCTATGTAATATACATTGATGGTCAATTGAAAATTCCGCGGCCTGACACAAAGATAGTGCTGCTAGAACTGAATCCTTACGACTTTTAGTTAGCCCTAACCTTTGGAAGGTATGTGTATAAATTTGACAGCTGTTGGACGATTAGTTGGTGAACTATTTCATTTTGAGTACAGAAACTTTGGCTATTGCGTAAAAAAATTGATAAAAATGCATTTCTCGCGTTGATATAATATTGGTTTTTTAAGGGAGAAGTAGAGTTGAAACAAAAACCTCAGGAAAAGCAACTATCAACAATTGGTATGCTGTAAACGTAGTGAAATGAGCACTGCAGACATTTTGAACGCACTGAACTCCCTAAAGAGAATGTTACCGTCAAAAACATCAAAAAAGTCCACAAAAGAATTTTGGGCGACCGTAAATTGGGTTTGGAATTGCTTCCATATCCACCGCCGAATGAAGAGGTGATCGCTAAAACTCTTGTCTATTTCAAGCAAGGATTAAATCGTGCTACAAAAATTGTTTCGAAAAGTTGGAGTGTCGCACCCTTTAAAGGAATTATGTATGTTGAGTAAAAAAATAATAATTTTATCAAAAAATGTGTTTTACGATGGTAGGGCGGGACTTTTTAATTAACCTTTTATGCCAAAAAGTGCGTTCAAAAGATTCTTAGAGTTTCCAAAGTTAAAGTACAGTATTAACATTCGTAACGCTGCATTATTTTCGCACTGCTTATACGCTTCATACGCACATATTTTCTAATTAAAATTAAATATGTAAGATCTTTTACTTCAATCGAATTCCTAACTTTCTAGTGACTAGTGCTACTATTGAGAGGAAAAGAGAACTTAGAAATAAACTTTCTGAAGACTAAGAACATTTCCTCCCAATGGCAGCACTACACACTACAAAGTTAAGACTTGAAGACTTCTCGATTTATTCGGACAGCAAGCAATTCAGCTTTTTTTGGGGTTTAAAGGAAACTTCAAAATGCAATTAGGCGTTATCAGTTTAATGAAACTTTACAAATCAAACTGCTCTAGAAGCTTACAAGCACACAGCCCATACACTAACACACCTTTCACGGAGCCGTTTGGTGAAATAAATTAAGTTGCATTGATTCCAATCGAAGCCAATTTCATTTCGCTGACTCAGCCAGCCGCAGACGAAGAATTATATTGAAAATGAGAAATTCCTCAGCGAACACAAGCGATTCATGTAAAGAAAGCCAAACTTAGAAATGTGAATTCTGCGATTTCGCTTTTGTTCCACGAGCAGATTAGCTGCCATGAAGCTTTTGGACCGTAGGCACTATTTAGTTCCTTGAGCAATATAATAATTTTTCAATACTTCAATTAAATGTAGTCGCAAATTTCTCTGTTAGGTAATGATGTTGGCTCAGCACTGGCCGTGACTAAATTTCGAATTTATTTGRCCTTCCATAAAAGAAATGCAACGTTGTGCCAATATTGCCGGAATAGCATTTGATTGAGGCACAATTTTCCTAGGTCAGCCACATTATTTTCATGAAATTGCGAAATACAACAACAATGCATGTATCAAGGCGACTCACGTTCRTTGCAAATTAAACCAATTCCAACGCAGGTTTGTCCAGAAATGAAAACTTTACAGTGAACGCCATATAACTGCAACCATCCGAATAGAGATTACCACTCTTTGAACATTGTCGAACTTTAGTATACAAAAGCTGCAATTTGTGTAACCATATTTACTGAAGAACAAATTTTACAATTAATATTGATGTTCACAATGGACAATAACCGATATTATTAATTAACTTACTTTTCTTGTTTCAGTTATAAAGCTGCTGAGTTTGAGTTTGGCCGATGCAGACCTCCACGTACTTATGTTTCTACAAAGCTTCTAATTCCATCAGAAGAAATGTCTTTCAAGAAAACTGGCAAATGTTTTGTTAATTTGACGGTCGATTCTGTAGCCACCAGTCGCAGGGTTACACTTCATACCAACTTCTAAAGAATGAGTCTTTCCCCTTAAGCATTTGTATTTGCATTTAATTAAAAAAGAATTGCGAAAATTCTGTCTTATTTGCAATTCGAAGGATTCTGCACTGGCCACAACCCAATGCCAAGCAACAACTGTATCCAGCCTTGCAAAATTCAAACTGTAAACAACGCACAACTATAATAATGAAAATAACGGTAATAATGGCAACGGCATAAAATAAATACAAGCGAAAATTCTAAACCTCGTCGTAACTGTAAAAACTTGCAGGCGACACAGGTAGTTGTGGTTGTTGTTGTTGCTGCGCAGATATGAAAACTTTCACTTTGACACACAACATCGCAGCAAAATTCCTCTTACTCCTCACTCCTATGCAGCAAGTTTCACAAGTCCGCGCTTTGTCCGTTTGCCCGTCGGCCAAAAGCGACCTTGCGAGCGAACTAACTCAGCTACTCACAAAGCGATGAGCAAACAATGCTACGGTGACAGCTAACTGTCAGCAGAGAAGCAAGAAACGTCAGACGTCAGAATTCGAAAGCAAATGCTAAATATTTGTACACGAATATGTGAGCAAAAGAGCGAACTTGAAATTCTCTCACGTTTGTTAACTGTGGCAAGGCTACGTGGGTTCCTTTAGAGCGTTTTAGTGATTTAATATTATATTGCATTCTTATATATGTACATGGTCCAAGAAAAAATCTTCGATGAATTACTTTATACTCATTTCTGTTCCAGTTTTCAAAGCTGTCAATTTTTTCGGCTAGAACTAAGTTTATTCTCACTGCCAGTTAACATCACTCTTATCTCGTTGCTTGGTGAGTTAGAGCTTTTTTAATATTCGATTTACTTGCATCTATTGAAGTAGTTTATATGTTAAGTGTACGCAATCCTTAATTGAACTTCGGCGGTCGGTTAACCATTGTACAAAGTGCTCTTACTTGCCGTTTTTTTTTTAACGTTTCCCAACAGCTCTGGGAAGGGTGTTGGGTGTTAGGTGATTAAACAGAAACTTGAGTTAAATGATTAATGAAGTTTATATAAATTAAATTGGTCTGTTTAATTAAAATGTGTGTGCTTAATTGGCGGACTTTTATTTAATTATCTTTCCAGCTGGATTTGCAATTGCAGGATGAAGCTGGCGGCGACATCTCAAGCTTCATAACGAATGGCGAATGGGACTTGCTAGGTAAGACAGAGTTCGCGATTGCAACTAGTAGTCTCAAATAAACTTTCTTAAATAATCTCGCAATAATCTTATATAATTAACTAACAATTTAATTAACTCACAATTTATAAAAAAAAAAAATAGTAAATTTCTTCATTTCTGCTCTTGCTTTGTCATGTTTACCACTTCTCATGTTAAAAAAGAGAACCATCTAAAAATTCTCTACGAACAAGCAATAAAAAATCACTCTATATTTTTTTACCAAACTATTAACAATTCATCAATTCTCATTTACATTTGAACATTCTTAAATATTCATATGCACAATTTCAAATTTACATATTTTTTATTAATCCTATCTAATGCGCAACTTTCTCTTTCTCTCTCTCCCTCTCTCTCCCAAAAAATAAAACACCGAAAACCATTCACCCTCTCTTACATTCGTAATCGCAACGACGATCGTGCTCTCTTTGCACTCTCTTTGCAGGCGTGCCCGGTAAACGAAATGAAATCTACTATAATTGCTGCCCAGAACCTTATATTGACATAACGTTCGCCATTTTAATACGACGGAAAACTTTGTACTATTTTTTTAACTTAATTGTGCCGTGCGTACTGATAGCCTCAATGGCACTGCTAGGGTTCACACTGCCCCCCGATTCTGGTGAGAAGCTCTCGCTCGGTAAGTGTCGTATGTCCGTAAACTTTGTGCCCTCGAAAAGGCAATGGCAATTTAAATAAAATTACCCTACCTCCCTAGTAAATTTAAACGAAATTGTTTGAAGTCTTAAGCAACATTCTCTTAAAGTTGGACAGATTTGTGTTTGGAAGTCTTGTAACCCTTCACCCCTCTAAACCTTTAAAGTGCATGCCCTCCCTCGAACTCAAATCGTTGACAAATTTTATTTTTAACACTGGTTTGCATATATTTTACGTTTTGGACACTTTGTCGAGTTTGTCGGTTCTGTGAGCATTAGGGTTCTTTGACAGTAGCAGTTTCATTGTCAACTGGAGCTCCAATAACTAGATCAAACAAAGCATCATATTATAATACAAGTATAGGTAGAATTTAGATCCCTAAAGCAGCTGACAGGCCATGGTCCACTGGCAAAAAGTTCATTACTTACAACAAGCCTCTTTTATCGGTCATAGATCGTCAAATCGCTGGCTTTCAGTAACAAAGCAATTAACAAATAGAGCCTTCTGGCTTACGAAAATATTAATGAGGAATAATATTATTTTAATTTTTACTATTTCATAGACTGCAAATTAGTTTGAAATACGTTTGTCTCTTATCATCTGCCATTTAGAGCAGAAAAAGATGCTCACAATTGGAACCATAGAAATTTCATGCATCAATATGCCATTATTTGGATCTCGAACTTCATCACCAGCTGCACAAATTTTTTCACGGAAAGTGAGTTTCGAAGGAAAGGAACTAAGACTTTTAGGAGTATCTTTTTTTATTCAATACAGAAGATGTTAGTAATGGCAAAGCATATTGTGACACATTACTCTTACCGTAAAAAAGTGTTTTTTTTTTTTTAAATCTTAGAATAATAGTTGCCGTCACTGTAGAGATTGAAAGCGCATTAAAGTGCGTCCATTCAAGGAATCTAAGAAATTTCCATTTTSATTTTAAATTGATGATTTCACGAAACTTACTGAAAAGAACAGAGAACACTTGCTACTCGTATTTGTATGCATCAGCGCGGCAAACACGTTTCTTCTAAGTGGAGCTGAAGCAACTTAATCAATTTCGCATTTACTMGAGAGCAGCAAAACTCTATCGAACAGGCCGCAGCCGTCGCGCTTTACGTGACGTGAAAATAACGCAGAGTAGTGGGCAAAGGATCGGGATACGAAGTGGCGACAAGCGTGGTTGTCAAAAAATTATGATAAATGTAACATAAATCCAGTATAAGAACCTCAAGCGAAATATGTATGCTTCAACTACAGGGAGAAGCAAAGAGAATAAACATAGCGTGGAAAGAAGAATGAAGGCATTGAAAGGCTATAAAGCTCTGTTTCCAGCTCGCGTCGACATCAGCAAATGAGAACGCCATAAAATGCCATCACTTCTGATCAATGTCAACTATACGGCGCTTACAACAATAAAACATCTAGAGCATAACAAACGCTGGTGRTACGGCCAARYGGTAAAACRGYAAAATGTTTCGAAATTTAGGTGGCAGTAGACGCGCTTTGAAATAACTCASCAGCATATATGTGTGTAAAGCCAACACACTCACGCCGTGTGGACGCAGTAACCTTGACCCAAAGGGAAGCAACAGCAACAAAGTAAARAAAAAAARTAATTCATTGCAAATATTTAAATGCCCCTCACCCAAGTATGCAGGCGCTTCTCTTTGTGCTCGGAATGGGAGCATGAGCGAAAGAGGAAATGAACGCGCACAGTTTCGCTGGTGAAGCCTCAAGGGAGTTGATGAATACTGCAATATGACGACAGCAACAGAAATGCATACAACCATGTGTCATCGAATAAAAGTGTATTTAATGAGCGGAGTCGCACAGCAAAAGCAAACTGACACACAAAGACATTTTCGCTCTGCTAGCACCACAACCGTCTTCGCACAGCGATACAAGTGCTTGGTATTTCCTGCATTGATCTATCCCTGATTTCAATATCAGTTATTGCTTTGTCTATAGTAGTAAATCGCCTTAAATTCCAAATACTTTAATCGATGAAGAACTTTCTATGATAGCATATACGAAGCTCATCATACTCTCAATAATTAATAATTACATGAGCTCATTTGCTACTAACCGTGAATTGATTCTTCGTCTCGGTTAAGTCTAATGGTTCGATATGAATCAGCCGTGCGCTGTCCAAGAAAYGGAAAGTGGCTAGCTTTCATCTCAAAAACAATAACAACATTTTCATTGACGAACTTTTCTCAGTCTTTTTCCAAGCTATTAATCTTAACCTTTGGAGCTTTTAATTAGCTTGGTCTTATCTGAAAATAAGCATTCAGCAGCAAWATCAGTATCCTTGAGGCTATGAGGTACATAATGCCGAAGAAACAAACCGAATCTTGGCGAATGTTCGAATATTTCTTGCGCGAAAAGTTTTGCATCRAATAGTATCACCGATCTAACTCTTATCTGTGACGAAAAGAGTATCTCATATTTGAGGAAAATGTTTGCAAAGGCACTTTTCAATTCCTAAAGTTCTTAAACTTTGTGGCAAAAGTCAATAGTTATTTGAAAAGAATAACGAGAAAAGTTTATTTTGTTTCCTCATCAAATACGGATTGCAGCGTCTACTGAGACTAAGTAAGAAAGAAAAACTAAATAAATATAWACAAAACCACATTGAAAAACTTGTAGAACAAGAAACAATGGATCTCTAACACATTCATGCGCGTGTATATATATGACAAGCAAGRAAGGGATAAGTTCGGGTGCATCCGAACATKTTATACTCTGGCAACTTGCAAGACTCAAATTCTGAAATTTTCTTTCAGGAAAMTTTGATAGTATGGGGGTGGTGTCACCCGGATTTCAACTCGTCTCGTCATCCTGACCATATAYATACATATATAACGATACAACGCTTAGTTTCTGGGGATACGTAGAACCGTTAGGTCCACAATACAATTATACTCTGAAACAACATGTTGCAAGAGTATAAAAATGAAAMGAATGTAGGGAAAAGGTRWAATAGAAAAAAACGCATCAAAAGTGAGCTTGGAAGCTGAATACGAAATAAAAGTCTAACATGTCTTCACATTTCCCCTCTTTTTACTAGAAATACGCACAAGAGCTGAAAATTTACTTCGAACATTCTCGGTGGAGACTCAAACTCAAGCAGTTGAAGCTAAGTGAAAAGAAACGCAGCAGCAGGTGCCAAGTACACGAGCATTACCATGACTTTAGAAACATGCTGTACGTGTGACACTTCACACTCTGTTACAACAAAAAAAACAACAACAATATGCCTGCGGTGAAAAGCTATGRAATTTTTACTTTTTTTCTTGAACAACGAAATTTATGCAAATGATGCGGTAAGAGCATCTAAAAGCATGCCATAATATGCTTTGCCCATGACCAGATCAATTTTAGAAAATAATCCTTGAATCACCCTCTTACTAACGCATGCGAATTTCCCTGCACCCTCCGCCAGTAGAAAATGAGTTAAAGAAACTCGAARGAAAACATATTTTTTATGTCAAACCAACAAATGTCGCAAACGATGATTGATTCGATTTGAAAAAACGCAAATAACGGTAATATCAACATAAACATAACAACAACAATAACACCTAACATATCTGGAATCGTAAAAAAGACAGGCTTGCAAATGCACAGCTCTTGACTACTGCTGACTGGTGACTGATTACTGCTGACTAATGACAGATAATGATGACACTGACAGGGTTACATTGAGGTTCAGCGCAGAGAATATGGTAGTAGTTTTTTATTTGCACCACACTGACGACCAGATGTGTAACAACAACTGCAACAACAACACCACCACTACAACCACCTAAACCAGTTAACATATTTGTATGTAGCTCTGCCAGCAGCAGGCAAACGTTACAATGGGAATACAAAATGCAAATTTGCTGATTTCGCCCACTCAACCGTCTGTCTACACATTTGKCTTGACTGAGTCTTGCGGGCCATGAAGTGCAGTCGCCAGAAAAACCATAAACCACAGTCACCAATAAGTACACAGCAAGCACAGCTAAACTACAACAACAACAATAATAGTCACACTCGTACACTCTCCGCAACATACGAATCTAACTAGTAACGAGTAACTTATGAATCTAACTAGTAACGAGTAACTAAAAATAACATTGTTAAACCAAAAAGTGAAAAATCTAAAATAATCTGTGTAAATTCCATAAATTTGATGTGTTYTCTCCCCTTTTATGTTCCAAAACACTTTCAAGTCAAACTCTCTTTTCTTGTTTCTATGAAATATTTCGCATCACAGGAGTTACAATTCTACTATCGCTAACAGTCTTCCTCAATATGGTGGCCGAAACGATGCCAGCGACCTCAGATGCAGTGCCGCTCCTAGGTAAGTTGGRCTTTTCTCAAACGAATTAMGWTTTTTTTTTTTRCCATTTTCTGTGAATTTCATTAAATGTTTATGAATTTTTAATCGAAATACTTGAATGCACTTGAATGAACTCGATTTTAGTTGGCGATACTGCAAACGGGTGCCTGACTTCAGTGCGCTCCGCGTCTCTCCACATAAAGTGAAGGAGAGGTTTGTAGCTCGAAATCAAGCAGTTGGTCGATGATTTAGTAGCTGCTTTCTTACAACATTTTTTTGTCATGATATTGAATACCGCAATCTAAAAATCTTTAGGTATTAGGAGGCACAGAACCTTTGGCAACTTTCGGACCTAAATTTCTTTGTTAAAGCAAAAACACAAACATATACGTACTCATATTTGCACACTTTGTGACTTTTCCGATTAGTTTCAAATTTAGTCCCCCAGCTCAGCAATAAACACGTGCGAAATTATATATTCATTCGATTTTCTTTGTGAACTCACGCACATTGGTTAGGCGGAAGTGAGTTCGCTACACCGGAAGTTGGCTGCGTGCTGAACTTAAACGAGTTGTTACTTGCTGCTCAGTTTCTTATTATTATTTTTATAATCCACTACAAAATGGCAATCATTTTCGATATTAACTCCGGAATGGGGATGGTTTATAAAGACAACAGCTTATTGATCACGAGTTGGTAAGTTGTGTGCAAACGTGGCAACAAAGTTCTTCCGGGCCGCAGTTATTGAAGACAATCTGGGGCTTAAAGGTTCACTTAATTTTACCGTTATACAGTGTCGCATGATTCACTGTAAGTTTTCGCTGGCAATTAGAGAACGTTGCAAAAAATATATTAAAAAAATTAGTTTTGGAACCACGAAGAGATGTTGAATTATTAATCAGGGTACACCAGCCGAAAAGCTTTCTTCCACTTATCCTGGCGTTAAATTCTTGACGTTCCAACCTTTGTGTGAAAAAGGTATGGTAAGCTCATGAAGTGGTCTTCCTCCTATATAAATGTAAATATATTTTCCCAGTACCAAAGAACTGTAAATAAGCCACATATTTAATTGCCAAAAAACTCAAATCCGAAATAAAGTAGTTACATTTTAGTATGATTTCCTTTGCTCGCATAAACACAATTAATTAATTCAAATTTTCATACACTTMTGTACATAAACACATTCCCATTTTTACTATTTCACATTTTAGAAAAACAAACTTCAATCCTTTAAATAAAATTGAAAATAATATTTTACTAAACCTCTTCCCTCAAATTCGAATTCCTGACAASTAACACAACACAACAACGAATTAGTCAAAGCATTTAGAATACACAGCTTTGAATGCATTTTCATAAATCATTGACAAATCACAGCTCTTTCCTGCTCATCCACATATGTACATGCACATTTTATATGTCGGATAAGCCCTAAAAAATTAAACAAATATCGAATTCCATAAACATTGCGTCGACATTCACWACGTCGCCCATAATCGTCGCGCATATTCGTATTTTGCTTGCCCCACACACACACTCATGCATAAGCGTTGATGCGTTGGGCAAAGCAAATAAATGCACACACACAAACACTCAGCCAAACACTTATCCTGCAATGTTTCTCATTTAGATGCATGTCGCCGAGCTTGTTTTTGTTGTTTCTTCTAATTCCATTTCGTTCTTTTTCAACATTTCGTAATTTGCGCAATGAATGCAACACGAAAACAGTAAAAACTACTCAACAGCATATTTTGCGCAAATATTTAGTTTTATGGTAAGAAAACAACAACAAATACATTCTTTGTTACTGCTCTGCCCGACAGCAAAAAAGGACACATTATTTCAAACTGAAAGCAACGAATCAGACTAACTAAAAACAGAAACAGACACAAATGTAAATACTTGCCACTGAAATATGTAAAAAGAGAACACAGCAGCGGAATGAACAAAGCCAGCCACTACACCGCCGCACACACACACACGCACATACACACAAAAACACACACAAAAACCACCCACACGGCTGCACCTACAACAGCCCCACCAAGCCACCAGCAGGCGACGGTTTCCGACGTTCTTGCGCACCCACACCCACACACAGACCCACAACACAGCACACGGTAAAGCGCGCGAGGCGGCTTGCAAATGTTGCTCATACGCCTCACCACACTGGCGCAACGACACGCCAACACCAATAAGCACTTTTATTTATGGAATGCAATAAACAACACCAAAAACAATAGCAGAGCAAATAAATACAATAAATTTAAATAAGAAYTAACATGTTCGCCACAAAATAAACACGCTCGCCCGCACACACACACACATACGCACATGCACATTCCCACGAATTTATCCAACTAAACAATGCAAAAGTAAAGAGGACTGGTATGGCAAACAAAGCAAAAGTAAATGTTAAAACAAGTAAATGTTTATGTACACTTTAATCCTTAACCCAAATACAAATAGCCGAACACGTAGCGATCCAAAAACGAAATGAGTAACGGCATTTAGGAGCATAATATGCTGCTAAAAGCAAAATACAAACGGAAAACATGTTTATAAACACAGAACCAAATAAAATTAAAAATTAAAATCGAAAAAATTAAAAGTAAAAAGCAAAAACCGTTATGTGTTGCCAAAGGCACACACACACTTACATATTCGTACGGTGCCGCGCCGCTTGCCACAAGCTACACGCCACTTGGCAGAGTCGCCGGCGGGCAACGGGCCAACCAATTGTTCCATGTGCTCAGCGGGCCGCCTCTCGGACAAGCCTCGCACAGGCGGCTTTGGCCTGTCGCTCCAACCACCACATAATGTGAGAGAAAAAACGTTCTTGTTGGTCTGCACAGCAACACAAATGCGCTTACAACAGCAAACGATTGCAAAAAACAAACGAATCGGGAAATTTCCAGTAGAAAAATGCAAATAACTGTAATGCAAATGCACGTAGATTTGAAAGACATGGTAGAAAGAGCAAAAGGTGTGGCAAGAGAATAGCACTAGTGACTTGCCAGTGAACTAAAGTGTGCCCACAAACCGGAGCTGAGCTGCCAGCATTTTGCCGGCGCGCTTTTTCTCTTTCGATTACTTTCCGCCTGCCTTTCTTGTATGTTTTTTGACYACTTACTTTTTTCACGTTAGCGTTCTTGTTCTTCTTGTCTTTTTTTAACTTCTTCTCTTTGTCTTCTTCTTCTTATTGTTATGCTGCTTTCTTACTAATTTTGCTTCTCTTTGCTTCTGCACTGGAAGGGTAAAGCATTTTGATGCGCCTTATGTCTAACATAATTCGGTTTTTATTGAATGGAATTGCCATTCACACGCGCACACACATGCAAGAGAGTTTTCGCAAACATATGCAAGGTTGCAAAGAGTGTCACTCAAGTGTCCAGGAGCCACAAGTAGCGTAGCGTCAAGTTCCTTTCTTAGAAAACAACTAGAATTGAGTTCTTTAATATATAGTATTTCTCTAGACAAAACTATAGAAAATCTGTTAATTTGTTCCTGTGTAATAAAAAACTAATAGTTTTTGAAGAAACTTCTCGTTATGTTGTATCAAAAGAACTTATTATTAGATTAAGTAGGGTTCAATGGTTGATCTCATGATGGGGATCGCATTTGGACTACTCTTTTTGTCCTTTACGAAACATAGAACTTCTGTTATCAAATCTTATAAGCCCTAGTGTTTATTGATATTGCCATCAACTTAGCAGAATGCCTGAAAGTGAAAGCTGCAAAGTTCTAAAGTCTTAATCTCGCAATGGCGGAAGGGCCAAGAAAGTAGTGTTGAGATATCTCTACTCAGCATTGATCCAAACAGTTTCCTCAAATRCCGTCCAGTAAGATTATAAATCATTGGTGTGAACACCGATCGTGCAATGATCAGTTAGAACTAGGGCTAAACTATCCTTAATGTGGGCGGAGAGAGCACTAGACCTTATGCAAACCACCACWAGGGCCACTGCACAAAAACAAATGGTAGCCCAGCACTGACCAAGCTGACACACAAAGAGAGCTGAGCACCGACCCATTTTATTCTACTGAAAGTGAAGTTACGATACCTTTTCTTGCCAGCTCGCCAGCTTTACCTACGATTCCGCTATGACCTGGCCCATACTAGTCTTATCACGTAGTGATACACCGATACCATTGATTACGAGGGTAAGCATTCCTGAACTAGCCTTTAAGAGCTTCTGTTTCCGTATTTTAGCGAATATAGCGAGAAAATTCTGATAGATCTTTTGTTTTGTACCACTAATCGATTGCTTCAACAAATTTTAGCGATATGATTAGCAAATATCGCAAGTACCTTGACGCTAATGTAACACTTGTGAGATCGTGATATTTTCGCAAAGAAATGTCTTAAGAAAGTGGTTCCCAAAGTTARACAGTTGAAGCGAAATCGTGTTTGTATGTGTTTGCTTCATCGAAGCGCTGCGTCTTCTTTATCTCTTCTTCGTATATAATATGCGGATGCAAGAGACGCGTCACTCCTTCGTATCAATTCTTTACTACTTCAGTGCCGCTACACTTGCAACAAGCAAACTTATAGTATGTCACGTTATGAGACAACTCATAAATATATATACTATATATATAAGAATAATAATTAATAATGCTTTATCCAACTTGCGACATATTTCCAAATATGTTTGATTTTTTCTTTGGTTATGCTTCACCTTATTTGCTTTGAAAAGGAAGCGCTTTTCTGTGTATTAAAATCTGAATTTCAAGTGATGCTTTCTATTTTTTTAATATAAAGTTTTTGCTTCACTTATTTACTCACCTCTGCATTTCACTTTTCACATTTCTCTGACATCACTTTTCGCGAGCATCTCTGCGCTGTATCGTACACGATTCAACCAAATCGCTGAGCATTCCGAACTTCCTCCGATTCATTCGTTGTCGTTTGCSCTTTCGTAAACTCACATTTTCGTATTAATTTTCCATTCGCATTGAATATATTTTATTAATAGCAGCAAGCCATGGTTACTTTATTTGTTGTTTATTGAAAATKTAAATGTAAGCAATTAAATGTTAATAATGACCAATCTAAAATCAAATCTTGTAAATATACTATATGACTGTAAATAATTTCGAATAATTAAACCTACTGAAATGCAAACTTGGAGATTAATGTGAATAGGAATGACAWCCTTTGCAGAAAAAATGATTTCTTATACTTTCCCAATTAATCTSAAACGAGTGAAATATTTTCCCAAATATTTAATCGAATAATTTCAGTAGTCAGTAACAATTAAAGCAAATTTCGATATTTTACATTTCTATTCCATTAATATCCAACAACCGYTAAATTCCTTATGTTAAAAGATCAGCTGAAGGTTGTTCCAAATTTTTGAAGACCTAGGATAGACGATTTGTTTTTATGATTTCGAAAGTAATCTCTAGCAGTATTCAAAAGAAACTCTAAGAAAACGTATACTCTATTTAAAACTAAAATAAAGGAGTTCGAAAACAAGGAAATCGCTCTAGAGCCGAYTTTAAAGCGGCAAAATATGGAAAATTTGGAACAGTCTTCAGTGCAGTAAATACTAAAACACAGTTTCGGTGTATACACATTAACCAGTCCTTAATTAGATTTGAAATGTTAGTTAATGAGCAAACAGACCCACAATAATCCTAAAATTACCAAATTAAATCTATAAACTATTTACTAAAGTAGCGATAAATACATAGATTTCACCCACAAATAAATACAATGGCGTAATTCTAAACAAAAATCATTGCGAGAAAGTACATGTTAACCCTAGCTGTGTAACGAGTCACCCTAGTTGCGTAGCCACGACCACACAATTACAACAACATTCACAGTCTTCAATTATTTACGCGTTTCAAATGCCTCCAAGTAGTTTCTTACAACYCACATGCCACACCATTTATTCAACAACTTTCCATTTCGACCAAATTAATATACTAAATAACCAAATAATCGAAACAGTGTCACCGAAACCACAACAATGAAGACTTCAAACCATTTTCACAAATCCTACTTCCCACTTGGAGCTAAGGAATAAAGTCAACAAACTAAAGAAAAACATATTCCAAACCTAAGTCCACAACTAAATTTTAGAACTGAACCCTAAACTATTGCTCGCCCCACTTGCCACCACTCTAAGTACTCTACTCCATACCCCCCACTCACTGACAAGCTACTTATTACCAAAAATGATCAAAACGCAAAAATGAATGATRAACATGAAACAGTTAGCGGGAAAAGCGAACCGTTACAATTGCGGTCATTGCAAAGCATGATGATTGCGGATAATTGGTTGTGCACAGATTAATTCAACATATCACGGACGAACGGTGATAAAAAGGGTTGAAAATGCAGGCAACAACGCCAGGTTCAAGTCAACGACAGCGTCAGATTGCTCCGYCATCGCAAACGCGAGTATTTAAATGCACTAGACACGAGACACYAGAGAGACGAACMCTGATCGGCGGGACCGAATCTTTCTGCAATTTCACGTTGTCGCTTGAATTGGGCCTCAAGTTGTTGCTGTTGGTGTTGGAATTTCCGGCCACTCACTCACACAGTTACAGATACCGTTCCTTGTCTTGCTTAGGTTAGGTCGTGGGCAATTATTGTACTGAAGTTGCGCTAACGCAGAAACGATAATATCGGAACGAAGTAGCCAGGCTTTATGTTAATCCAGTAAATAAATAATTTAAATAATTTTTCTCGTGCTGTAAGATAGATTAATTATGATATCTAATATGTATTGTATACTTTTAAATGCTTTAATAATTACAAGTTTTTCTATATTTATGCTATGAATATTCGTACGACAATGCAGTTTGTGTAATATAAATCAGTTTTTTCCATAATTTGTTCACAAAGTGCTTTTGCTCCTACTTTGTCACGATTTCAATATATTTTTTTAATTTCAAGTAAACTTTGAGTATTTTCTAGTAAAATGAACCGAAAGCTCGGCCAGTACAAGTAAATGGCATACAAAAATTTAAAAAAATGACAGGCCATATTGAATGTGTGAAGGTATTTTTATATTTTGTCCCAACAGCCACGGCCAGTCATCCTTCCTTTGGWTCCTATTGTAGCGGCCTTGAAAAAATAGTTATACGGTTTTGCGGTCCATTACTGCTGTGATGAGTGCCAATAAATAATGCGAGAATAAGTGCATGATCATCGGCCCCACTCCTGACATCAGCATACACAAAATCCACACTATTATTATTTGCATTCATACAAAAACCTCGGCTGACAGATTTCCAAAATCGTTGTGTGACTGGAAGGTTACGATTAATATAGAGATATTTCTTAATAGTAACGCCCCAAAGCGAGTACTGACGCCCACTCTAAGGGCAGCAAATGATATCAACGGGGAAACGATGCCGAACTTAGGAGGGTCCTCCTTCGCCAGTCACTGGAAGAAAGATCTGCGTGTTTGAACGCATTATCCTGCAAATATGCTGATTAATCCCATAATTTCATCCCATAATAATTTTCATTCCTGGCAATGGATGGACGGTAGTTCTGCTTTCTTCAGACTGGATAAGGAGGCGAAGAGTATGGGTCTGGTTGTGAACAAGGACAAAACGAAATGTCTCCTGTTATCAAACAAACAGTTGTCGCACTCGCTACTTGGCTTCCRCGTCACTGTTGGCAGTCATTACATCGAAGTTGTAAATGACTTCGTCTATCTTGGAACCAGCATTAACACCAAAAACAACGTCAGCCTCGAAATCCAACGCAAGGAGGTACTCAATTGAGAAGAAAAGTCCTCTTTCCACGAACAAAGACCAAATTGTACAAGTTACTCCTCATCCCCTTCCAGCTATACAATGCAGAGACATGAACGATGACAACAGCTGATGAGTCGGCGTTACCAGTTTTCGAGAGATCATATTCTGAGGAAATTGTATGCTCCTTTGCACTTTGGCAGTGGCGAATACCGTCGATGGAACGATGAGCTATGCGAGATATCCGAAGGCATTGACATAGTTCAGCGGCTACGGCTAGGTCACGGAATGGATGAAAACACTCCAGCTTTGAAAGTATACGGCGCAGTATTCGCCGGCGGAAGCAGAGGGAGAGGAAGAAGACGGCACCAAACAGCGAAAAGAAAGAACGACCAGCGCGCTTTTGTAAACTCGGTTATAACCGCGAATGAAGCAGAAGCGGATTCTTGGAAATAACTTTTGACTTCGACGTTCCTTTTTAATGGTGTCATATTTTTGGGCCATTGTTTGCTCGTAAATTTCCCTTATGTTTTAAATATATTCACTCTCCCTCTCACGGACCCTATTTATATGACTTTTGGTTTCGCTCTTCACACAATCAATTTCGCCTGCTCTTGCCTMMAAGATCGATCTCGAATTGAATCAAACCAAAGCTTTAATTGCACCATATATAACTTTGTATATACACAAATCTTTATATAAAACCGAAAGTACCGTTATACGCTTGGCCGGCCAATAATGGTGGCGTAAAGTGTTTAATCGAAACTGAAACTGAAACTGAAGTAATGAATAGCGTTGAAGTTAAATCTACCGAAATGCATTGCAAGGCAATGCGCACACACAAACACACGAATGTGAGCATGCAAGGCGAAAATTTGCAAATATACTTTCAGCTGARTTGCAAACATTAGAGAGCCAACAACATGCCACACATTTGCACATGCGCCGCAAACGCGTTGGGACATTGGCGCATGTACGAATGTGTGGCGTTGCCACTCTGYACTTATTTTAGTATGTRCCGCTGCATACAGATAAACACAACAAACGTACGTACAATATTTGTGTAATTTTTGTGTCCTTCTAGGAACTTATTTCAATTGCATTATGTTTATGGTGGCCTCATCAGTTGTGTCAACCATACTTATCCTCAATTATCATCATAGAAATCCAGATACGCATGAAATGAGTGAATGGGTAATATTATATGCAAATCAATTCAAACAGTAAACAACTTTTTATTTAAATTTCTTACTTGTTTTTTAACATTTATATATTTACTACAATAGTGCCAAACAACACATACATACATACGCACACATGCATACAAGTGCAACATAGCCAAAACAAACACATGCATACATGCATTAGCAAAACTATGCATTCAACACACACAGACACACCTACATATAATATATTCRCACATCCAAACACATTTACATACGTRGCATACTTACATATATACGGTATGAGGCCACGCCTAACTCACACTCAGCGAGTCGCCAGTCTGAGTGCACCGAACGAGCTTTTTTAATCGATTGCAAATCTGTAAYATTCACATTCACACACAYGCACACAATTCACTTTGAATTCTTGCTTAAATGCTTCTTTTTGTCCAGAGCTGGCCTCACTTACTGGCACACGCACACATGGGTGGCGCTGGCGTCGCCTGTGTGACCGAGGCAAATGCATTGTGTTATACTTCGGAGTTTAAATTAAATAATTCACATTTTTTAAGGCATTCCAACTAATCGAGCAAGTCTGCGCTCGAAAATTGCATGCACCAGCAGAACAGCAACACAACCAAATCACAGATATGCCTGCCACACACACACCTAAACACACGCATCTCCACACATGCCGCCGAATGTAATTAAAGTCCAAAATTTGCTTGCTATAAATCTTGTTTTTTTTTTTTTTCTTTAATTTCCGAGCTTTGGCAGCTTTCTTATGAACAGTTTTCAATGCATTCACAATGTTGCCTCAACTGCTTTAGAAAATTGTTTCATTATTGTACGACATTTTTTTCTGGAACTAACTTACTCTTTAGTACTTTACATAAGTGTAAATATGAACTTTAACTTGATAAATAGCATAATGTTAATAATCACATATTTCGATAAATTTTCAACGCTTTCTCGGCCACGACGCTTTCACCGGCCTTGCCACTGTTGTTTGTTGCTGCTCCGACGGCTGCTTCGCTTGGTGTCGACTGCCCAYTATCGCTATCTGGCTCTGTCGGTTTCGTACTCGCTGTTTCTGCCTCTATGCTTGTCCTTGTCTATCTCTCTGTTAACTATATTGCTGATCGTGTACGCACTCGATCGCCGTGCGTCCCTCGTTTTTGATATACCCGACGCAACTGCTGACAACACCATCCAACATGTGTGGATGCATTTTAAACTGCACAAACAACAACTAACTAACTAAATTTATAACCGAGCTGATATTTAAAACAATAACAAATATTAACAACAACAACAATAATAATAACAAACAAATTGATTGAATTACATTCACTGCATTTGCTGCTGGCGAATGCCGTACACTTACTATGCGCAACAACTACAACAACAACAACAACAACAAAAATATGCAAATAAATTCTAAATTAAACCGAAACTTAAACTAAAACTAAAACCAAAAACTGCAAAACTGCAAAACTGCAAAACTAAAACCAAAACTGTACTAAACCGTCAATACCCGCACACTACTCTCTCCCTCTTTCTATCGCTGTCGCGTTCTCTCACACTCGCTGTCTACTACCGACCACTTGCAAAACTCCCAGATAAGAGTAATATTCCTTTATTGGTTACCTTGCATATTGCGGATGCAAAGGCCGGGACAGGTCGGCTATGARTGCCCACCGCCGCCGTCGTCATCGAGCTCCTCCAATGCCGGCGATAAAAAGCACCAGATGCAGAACGTCGAACTGAAAGAAAGGTAAGATATACTTTAATAATATACCAGCTGTCTTCGATTCCTCAAACCTTGTAGAGTGCCGAATCGAGCGAACGACTGATAAAAATCAAATAAACTGTTATAATCAAATTGAGTTTTAAATCCTCAGAACACCTTATTCATTTTCRACAAGAGCACAGAAGAAGTCAAGCAATACAAGCAGATAGAGGCGAATCGAAGACGGCTACCATAATACTTAATATTTGCATATCGGAAGTTTAATGCTAAATATGAACTGGCCACACTGTACGCCCCGTCTTTGTACATCACAGCTTTTACCATTCCAAAATCATTGATGTGGCGTTAAAATGCCACAGATATTTTTTGGACCAGCATTTGTCAAAAAGCCAAAATCAAATATGTAATATGTAATTACAAACAATCGCCATCTATGAATAAGCCCGTGTTCTTTTTGTATTTGTMAAATTAATGAGTACCAAYATAACTTTTCTCACAAGCAGATCATCGAAATCATTACTCGCCAATGTTCTGGACATCGACGACGACTTCCGTTGTAACCATCGCTGCGCCAGCGCCACGTTGCCCCATCAACCGACTTACTATCGCGCCATGTATAGGTAAGTAGATAAGCATTGGAAAACTATTTACGAAGTTTAAACAATCTATACACTCGTATACAGTAATAATTAACCTAGTTTTAACAAGTGGTATATACTGAACAATAAAACGGTACAAAGTGAACCGATATATATATGGTATATATAGTATATATATTTTTTTTTTTACCAAATAAAATTTGAATTATAATATACCGTCTATTCGGTTCACTTTATATATATATTATATTCACAAAAAAGTGTTGCGGTATTTTTATTGAATTTTCAATTGTTCATAAATTTTTTTTTTTTAATGACTCATGCCCAGCTCTTGACCGGTGCTACGGCTGCTACTATGCCGGTCTCTTTCGACCAATTCAGCGACTTTATCGTAATTTTCGACGACAGGCCTTCCGGAGCGTGGCGCATCTTCGACCACCTCTACACCAGAACAAAAACGTTGAAACCATCATTGTTCGGTGGAAATGGAAACTATACCGGGTCCATAAACTGCACAAATTTTATTGGCGGCTTGAGATGCATTTTTGCCTTTATCGTAGTAGTACTGTACAATATGCCGTATTTTCTCTTTATTTTGCTCCATGTTTGCGACGCTATAACTCACGAACGACTTAAAAGAAACGACAATCAATCAAACACGTCTTAGCACGTGAAATGAGGCTTCCACAAAGGTATAGCATAACCCGATGCGACGAATAGAACTAGAACTACGCGCTCTCAGCGCCAACTAGCGAAAATACCGCAAGACTTTTTTGACAAACTAATATATACATATACTTGTAGTTTGCCAGGACATAGAGATCTATTTCACTAATTATCATGAAGTTTGTAACCTCCATAACGATTTCCTTCTGTATAATAAAGAATATATAGAAAAATCAGTATAATTAGCGAAGTCGATTTAGCCGTTATTTTCTCTCCAATAATTTGCTCATTAGTGGGAAGCGTCAATATCAMAGCGCTATAGAATACAGCAGTCATACAAACTGATTCATCAAAATCATGGACTTATACGGAAAACTTTTTGGTTAGAAAAAATATCATCACGAAATTATACACAATTTCCGCCGGCRTTTAGTGAATCGAAAACCTGGAGTGTTCTCTTCCTTTCGGACAACAAGACGCAGCCAGCGTAGCCGCTGTCTCTTTATTCGATGAACTAGGTCATTCTCATCGAAAATCTCGTACAGCCTACTTATCAGATAATGTCGTTGTCTATGCCTCTACACCATATAGCAGGACGGGAATGATGAGGGACTTATAGGGTTTGGTCTTTGTTTGCCAAGAAAGGACTTTTTTTTTAATTGCATACACAGTCCAAARTTGAACCTGTTGGCAAAGTGATTCTACATTTGAATTCAAGGCTGATATTTTTGTTGGTGTTGATGCCGCTTCCAAGTGACATAGGAGCCAAGTCGCAAATTCGTTGGCAGTTTGTTTGATGACAGGTGATATTTCATCTTCATCGTTCACAACCAGACCCTTACGCTTCGCTTCCCAATCCAGTCTAACGGCGCGGCTGTTGAGGCAAATCRTACCAATATCATCGGCGTACGCCAGCAGCTGTAAACTATTAAAGAAGATTACATGATAATAAATTAGAAGATTGAAGAGGGCAGACGATAAGGAGTCTCCTTGTCTGAAACYTGGCTTGATATCAAACGTCTCGGARAGGCCCTTCCCGATCCTTTGCTTCGGRGCTGCTCAAGGTCAGCTTACAATGCAGTATTAGCATTTCGAGTTGTCAGTTCTTCGCCGCCGTATTTGAGGTGTTAGGTAGAAAAATKTTGCATTGATACAGATTTTGACTAGACGCTAATCAACTGGAGTGAATGCCAGAACTCGACGACTGAGTMTTTCTTSCACCTCGATTTTGCCCTCCTTTATAYGGCCGCTGAAATAATTGTCACAAAGACCTTTCGCCTCCGTCTTTGTCCCGTCCACCGCATTTCTTGGACGGCGGTAATATCARCCTCTACWTTAWGAGGACATCATCMTTCCAAGATCGCCATCAAAAGTGGGGTCTTTCATCCGAGGCTGTTGTTTCTTTGTCATTAGGGGTTGTTTTTACGTGGCGGGTCCTAAACCCAGCGCACAACCTCGACTAAAAAAAAGGAATTTGGGTATTCAGAACTCATTCCTTTTAAAGCGTTTTTAGGCCTTTTCTCAGCAACAGTATCTTAGCTTAGCATACGAATTCCCGTTTTATCCAGTTTTTTCTTCAATATACCAAAATTTACGTCACTCAGAATGGTTTATCTCGCGAACCAATCAGCCGACAATAGTTTAAGTTATACCTTACCTTTCGAAGGTTCGGGGTTTGCGGAATAGATAGGCACCATATTTGGCAAAATATTATATTTGTCAAAAAAGTCTTGCGGTATTTTT